TCGCTTATAAAAGTTCTAACTCAACATTCAGTATTGCAGTCCATAGATAGTAAGGGCAAATCCACAAGTAACTGATCCCACGACTACAGCGACGCCTTCGGCTGTGTTAACCGTAAAGTACTGTTGCATGATCAACAGACATGTAGTCTGCTTGCCAAAGGATTATTTTGCCAAACCTACTCAAATCACCAGGTCTGTAGGCAAAAGCTCATCACCACTTACCAGAACTTCCGTTGTCTTTCAAGGAGCGATTTTGTCACTTTCTTGTTCTCTACTTACGTTGGCTCTATACCACAAGAAACCATTCTGCCAAAATATACTGATGATGTTATCATTGGTGTGAATCGGCAAACCTCGACCCTCTCAGCCAACTTGCGAAGTTGTTTGGACGAATTTGTGCACTGGTCTAACCCCCGCTGCTTGACGCTGACAGCGTCCAAGTGTAATGACACGGTTTTTCACTTCATAAAGCAGCTCGTTACTAGGACCTTGTCAAGGAATGTCCCAAACTTCAGACTGAAGGTGACAGCTTGAGCTTCTTGACGTCAGTGAAGTAACTTTGAGCTATACTGAGATAGTTTGTCGTGGTCACTTCAAATGAATGAAATATTCAACAAAATCAAACGACTTTCGTTTTACATTCCTGGATTGCGATCATCCTGCGGATCATACAATTTGATTCCGCAGTTCGTCACTGCGTCCATTCCATTCCACTGCACTGGACTTATTTCTCTCCTGTGAATTTTTCATGCCTATTGTGTAAGCATTTCAAACTGTTTGGCAGATCACTGAAGCAGTTGTCTCGCTGAAGTGGCATTCCGAAGACTAGTTTGACCAAAACAATGGTATCTACGCACGTAAAATCACACACTGAACTTACTTCTGAACAATGAACAACGACTTTGTACGGGTTAGGAACCGCTGAAATAGTTACCGACATTATCCGCCTTCTTCACCGTGCAGCCTTTAGCTGTATATCTACCTCCTCGACCAGACAAAAGTACAGAGAAAGATATGCCCGCGCGAGGGCTTCTGATTAGTCGGTCATCCCCTAAGTAGCCAGATTTTTGTTTGAGCAAAAAGTTATTATCCAAGACCATACCGATAAAGTTGGCAAGTAAGGTTAGGTTTTTCATTAAGCTTCAAGCAGCAGAAGATAGCAGACATTTGGCGAAGCGTAAGCATCAAGCCAGTGCTAAAGAAAGGAATAAGCAAATATCGGCCGATCGCATGCACGTCGGTTGCACTTAAGACATTCGAGAGGCGTATACTTAAAAGGATCTCAGCACAGACCCATTTGGATGACCCACATCAGTTGGCATGTCGCTGCTCAAGGGCCAGTTTAGATGCGGTAGCATATTTGGCACATACTATGCTCTCGTCACTGGACAATAAAAACAAATCCATCCGCATGTGATTCCTGGAGTTCAGCAACGTTTTCGGTTGTGTGAACCATGAACTACTGCTGCGTGATCTATTAAGTTCCGGAGTCCGAACTTCTGTTGTTCTTATGTGGAAAGCTTATTTTACCAGCCTTATCCAGTGTACCAGGTTAAGGAGGGAAAGCTCTTCTCCAATCACCACGAACTCTGGTGTTCTTCAGGGAGCAACGTTGTCCCTTTCCTTGCTTTCCACTTAAGTCACCACAATCCCTCTCCCTGAAGATGCCATCCTTCTGAAATATGCGGACGATATAAGCTTGATGTCCATCACCCAAGCATAGAGTCATCGGCTACGCTACAAACCCTATTATATAACCTCACAGCTCGGTCCAAGTGCTGTTGCTTGCCATTAAACACCCCAAAGTGCAAGGATGTCCTTTTACGCTATTCAAAGGAAATCACTGCCAGCAAATCCTGACCCAGTGCCCACAACTTTGCACTGACGGTGATTGTTTGACCTGTTCCACTTTAGTAAAATACCTGGGAGTGACGCTTAGCAATGGACTTACGTGGTCCCTTCACGTGAACGAAACATTCGTTAATGTTTGAAGACTCTAATTCTATGCTACACTTCTCAGGTCATTTTCCACATGCCGACTTTTGATCCAGCGTTTCATCACTTCATGTGTGTTACCCTACTGGACCTACTGCTCTCCAGTTATCTTTCCTGGTCTCTTGAGGAAGGACGTTAAAGTAGTTGCCAGATCCGTGAAGTATCTATCCCGGTGTAATGGAATTTCAAGGATAGAACTTGTCAACATCATTGTTGCCAACCATATCAACTCCCGTAAAATGTTCGCATATAAAATAGATATGATGGTCATCCTCTCCACAAGGCTTTGTCTGAATGCTTATCAACCTCCTCTCTTACCAGACAGACCTACAAAACTATATACGTCCGCACAAGGGCCTATGGTACTTCTGTAGTCCCTTCCCTGGCGCGATTTTCGAATGATAAAAATTCAGTCAATCAAGCACGGATTAGTGAATTACTCTAGCGAGGTTTGCCCTGCCAACTCTTCCTTTTAGCGATGGTGGTTTTATGTTGATCCGCTTGTACTATCCAATTGCATTATTTTCCCACTCTGTGGCGTGTGCGTTAGAGCTGAATATTCGTCCTTTAAGGGTGCATAAAGCACATTCTTGACTTGACTTGTTATGTTGTTATTGAATTGCGTTTTTAAGCATGTCTATAGCATGTGTGCTACGGCCGAAAATTCATCTGTCAAGAATGCATTAAAGCGCCTGTGTGACGTCGCATGCTGAATATTGCCTATGTGATCTGTCTGTACAGCCGAGATTATAGTGATTTGCGCCCTCATTGTGTGCATTGTGAAGGCACGAATGTTTCCATGCTGAGCATGTACTGGTGAAGTTTGTCTTTATTAGATATGATATTAATGTTTATAAAGCCGTAGTTCCATTATGGCCTTGTTTTGCATTAAACCGGGAGTTCGACGCGTTGGTGAAAAGTCCCAAACAATTTTATCACTTTTATCAAACCCGTAGTATTATGATGTTCATCCATTACTATTGTAGCGGAATCCCGGATGCCTATCCTGTGAGACAATCGTCTCTCTCAATGATGCAGTCCACGTGATTCCCTATCCTGAGAAAAAGTGTTCTTTCCTGTGACCCCATTACCGGTTCCGTTGTGAACACTTTCATAACATTCACTTCATGGTCCAGCTCGACCTTATATTCCATCGCAAACTAATGTACACTTTACCAAAAGCACATTGTAACTCACAGTCTGTGTGTATCTCATCACATATACCTCCTCCCTCCTGGTTATGTTTATATATATTCACCCCACATACATATCTAAACCCCTTATCTAATTTCACAATTTTACCATACTATAATCTGCATTCCACAACTGACTTTCATTTCCCCATCCTATCACATCAATAATCCCTATAACCCCTTCCCCTTAACAATTTTACACATTCCCTCACCCAAAAACACCTTCACTTCACCACCCTATTTCCATCAACATATATCCTCTACTAATACACACCTTCACTTCCACCTTTAAACCTCACCCAACTACATTCATCCCCAAAACACACCTTTAAATCACCCTATCAAAACCCCAATAATTTTACAACATACCCCCCCTCTACTCACACCTTAAACCATCACCCCA